CCACCCCCATGATTTTATATTACGTGATAATACGAATCACGTGGAATGCAAGCATCAGCCGACTGCAAGCATCAGCTGCGACATTAATTGATGTGAACAACCTCGATACTGTATGCTGTACGACCATAAAAGTGACGGAAAAATTACATGCTCGCAAGTACTCAGACCAATTGTCTCGCAAAAGCCTTTGCTAGAAATAGTTTGTATCAGTATACCTTGCAACAGGACATTAGTATCGAGAACAGTATCAGCGAGCCTACGTTATCCATGGTCGCAAGTCGATAGGATCCGATCCTTCTCGAACTCGGCAGGTTAGTTACAAGTGGTTTTGTAGGTCTAATTTTGGCTTCAAAATGTATGACTGTTTATCTACTGAAAACTAGTTTCACTGCATAAAGAAATCGAGAAACCAAAGGAGGGCGAAGGGTCAGTTTCATTTATTTGTTTTGTAAAAGGTATAATCGATCTGATTTGTTTCTTTCTTCTTACTTTTTAAGTTGAAATGGATTTGTAGTGTCACTATAAACTTTGTTACTCGAGACGGGGAAAAGACGAGTGTTCGTGCGAATATCGGCGATAGTATTATGGATATAACGCAAGCAAATAACATTGATCTGGAGTGTCTGTATTAAGTTTGTTACTTTTTTTTAAGTTATCTACTACTTGAGCTGCCAAGTCCTTGTCCATCAATAGGTGCATGTGAAGGATCTCTTGCTTGTTCAACATGTCACGTTGTAGTGGACCCAGCGTATTATGACAAATTAGATGAGCCTACCGATGAGGAAAACGACATGTTAGACTTGGCCTTTGGCTTAACAGAGACGTTAGTTTTTAAAGACGGTATCCCGTTCGTTATTCGTGACAGCACACGTTTTTTATTGACACAAGAATTTTATTTTCACGTGAAGATCTGTACACTTTTGACAAGACTGAAGATGCCTCAGTGAACACATACAAGGAAGTTGTGGATGCATACAAAAGAATCTTTTCTAGAATCGGACTCCCTTATGTTGT